GGCGTGACCCAGATAGACTACAGAGGGAACCCCAAAAGAGGACTTTTGTCTGTTGATCTTGTACTGGTTATCACGTAAGGCCTGGACGACCAGAGCCAGATGTTGCGCATGCTCCTGGACAGAACGACCGAATACCAAGATATCGTCAAGATATACCCCTACGAACTTGTCCAGGTAAGGCCTGAGTAAGTGATGCATCTATGTTTGGAAGGTGCCTGGGGCATTGCAATGACCAAATGGTATGACCAGGTACTCGTAAGTGTCGTACCTGGTTTTGAAGGTTGTCTTGTGGACATCGCCTTCAGCCATCTCAATCTAGTGATCGGCAGATTTGAGGTCGATCTTGCTAAAAATGGTACAACCCTGCACCATATCCAACAGATCATCAATGCGAGGAAGGGGCTTTGTAGACTTCCTCGTGATTTTGTTGAGACCACGGTAGTCCACGCACATCCTGAACTCACCATTCCCTTTTGGAACAAAGAGGACTGGTGCCACAAACTCAAATGTGTTGGGGCTGATCCAGCCCTTGCTGGTCAAAGTCTCTAACTGTTTCCTGAGCTCTTCAAGTTCCGCAGGTGACATCCTGTAGACTCGACCCTTGGGAAAGACCGAACCAGGCAGGATCTCAATCTTATGTTTGGTCTGCCTATGGAGAAGTCCAATAGGCTCCTCCATAAGATCTGAGAAGCGGTCTACAACCTGCTGAATTTGAGAGGGACATGAAGCAGTCTCCACGTCAGTCTGTTTGACATAAGCCACAAACAGACGGGCGTGGTCAGTCTGGCGTGAGAATCGCAAAAATCTGCGAGCACTTATGCAATAATAGCTGCTGGCCGGATCGTACTCGTCAGTGAGCATGCAAGGGCGATATACCCCATGCCGATCAGGTAGCTCAACCCTGGGAATCCACCAGCCGATCCTAGGATTGGTGGCACCAAGCCACTGCATTGAGAAGACAAGGTCAAAGGGGACATTAGGAAACACAGAAATTCAGGCGATCCCACAGTCCAAGAGCCCTTTGATCTTGGCTCCTAGGATGAAGGGTCGAAGTAGGATGAGTTCAGACCTGTGCGTTTTCTTCTTTTCCTGCAAGGACAGGAGAAGATCAACAAGGCACTGAGCATCGTCCTCCCCCCACGTCTCATCCAACTCTGAGTCTTCAAAAGTGAAAGACCCTGAAGGTGCAACTCCAGCAATAGAAGAACCAGCAAGAGAATGTGAAGATTCACCATCATCTGAAAGTGAATCAGCACTGGTGGAAGAAGCTGTTGCTTCCACCTCTCTCTGCTCTAGTTTTTTGAACTAGAGCTGCTTGTATACCTATGAGGCATGCTGGGACAGTCCTTTAGGAAAGGTCCCCCTCGCATCTCAGGCAGACCCCCTTGTCCTTCCTCTTCCTCCAAACTCCCTCCTGGATCCTGAGTGCATGCCAGGGGAAGGTGGAAGGGTCAAGTGGATCAGCTGGCCAGCGGACATCACGTGGTAGGGGTATTCTTTGGGCACCAGGGGAAGATGCACGTCCTTTTCCTTTGCCCTGTTTGCTGGTTGATGGGCCTTGCCCTTAGTCAAACCCATCAAAGCATCAGCCAGGCCAAAAACAACAGAATCTGCAGCAGATGATGAGGCAGTCCCATTGGAGGGCTCCCAACCTGGGATGTTGCGTCAGTATCTGATCCTGACGCTACAGCAGCAAAGAGGGCACCCTTCCTCCTTCGCCCTTTGGAGGAGGGTCCCTTCCTTCCTTCAGAAGGTGCTTCCTGGACATGGAGCTTGGACTCCAAGTCCAGGGCTGCTCTGCCAAAGGACCGCCAGTCCTTGTGGCCCTGAGAGAATAATGCAATCTTTTATTGCTCAGGCGCTGCCCGTAAGAAATGAATGAGGAGATCGTGCTCACTCATCTCCAACCCTGGAGTCGATGTCAGACTCTCAAAGGTAGAATAAAGTTTGGACAGGGAGCTGTCAAACTTCCTCTGGCCCAGACGCATAATTTTATCTGCTGCTTTCCTGGCCTGCTCCTTGTCTGCAAACCAATCCTGTAGTGCCTGCAGCAAACCAGCCACCCCCAGCCTCTGCCCCCAATCAGACATCTTCATTCCTTGCCTTTTGGAGGTAGAGGTGCACCATTTCAATGCAGTCCTCTCCAGACGAGCAAGGATGGATGACAACTTCACATCCTCATCACATTTGAACCCACTTAGGTAGGTTCGTTGAGCAGTGACCCAGTCTGCTACATCCACCTTTGGGTCCTCACTAGAGAACATAGGTGGGGGTGTCAGCTTGGGCCGCTGCTGATCAAATGAGAGTGAGGGCTGAGAAGCTGCTGTTGATTTGGGCGTAGGGGGTGGAGATGTAGGTCTGGATTGTGGGGGTGATGTGGATCTCCCTTGAGAGAGTCCAAGAGAGGGAGGAGCAGGGGAAGTGGTAGGGATCTTTAGATGAGTAAAGATCAGATCCAGTTTGGCAGAGATGTCGTCCAACTTTTTGGAAAAAACTGAATGGCTGCGCTCCAGACAACAGATCCGGTCATCCCAGTTAGTAAAATAAGAACGATGAATGTCATCCTGCAGGAGGATGAATTCAACCATGTCCTTATTGTACTGGCTGGAACTACCACTTGCCCTGATCTTCTCCATATCTGCAATCAGAAGTTTTCTCCTAGCCTCCTTTTGAGCCGACTCTTCCTTTTTCTTCAGCTCAGCCTTCAGGGATTCAACTGCCTGGGCCTGTTGGCGGAGTTTCTCCTCTTGGGCCTGCAGTTCAGCCTCTAAAGGGTCCAGCGGAATCCGAGCCTTTGTCTCAGAAGAGTCTTCCTTCCCAGCATTTGCCATTTTGAATCTTCCCACAATTCAGATAAATAAAAAAAAAACAATTAATAAGAGATAAACAGTAAGTAACAGTAATTGAGTTTTCTCTACAGTACTGACTCCGTTGTTGCCACCTGCCTGGAGAGAGAAGGTTGGTTAGTCTGGTGAGTGCTCAGTCTCAGCAAACCTCTTGAGGGTCAAGGTCAGTTTAGAGTCCACTCAGACAAAAATCCATTTCACGATTTTCCCATCCTTGGCCTGACACTTCAATTGCATGCAATAGTTGCAAATCCTGCGTCAACAATTGACACGATGCAGTCTTAGACTGATTAGTGTTGATTAGCAATTAGACAAAGTGACTAATTAGGGTTAGACAGGTGTCCACTGATGACCAAGATGCAGCGACACCCTGTATGCCATACCCTGGGTATGGCGAATTACAGTTTTCATTGTAACTGACTCAGAACATCAAATTTGGATGTGCGATTTCAGACACTGACTGAGTACTAAATTGCAATTTACTAGGGCCTGACAAAATTGAATTCTGACGGACAGAATCAAAGTTATGACTGACCCTAATCTAGCCAAGCTTTAGCTATGTCAGCGCAAAATTCTGCATTATCACTGACAACAGGACCCTGAATTCACCAATTCACTACACATGATAAATTGCAATACTGTAAAGCAGTCACAGATGAAATATGAGTCAAAAAGAAGGTCAAACAGGGTTAATAGAAGTCAAAGAAGATAGGTAGGGGAAGTTGGATATGGCTGTCCCACAATATGAACTTCGATTTTCAACTGTCACCTGACAAACAGACCAATTTCGCTATTCGAAAAATAGACTTAGAATCGCCACACAGGGTGGAGTAAGGAACACACTTACTTCAGGGTCAACTCTGAAGAAGATGCATGAAACCCCGGCTATAAGTGACTGGTCAACCCCATCTCTCCAGTTTCATCTCCTGACAGTATCCAGTGTTCCCACGTACCAAATTGCTTGAAACTCGGTGATCAGTGGATTACCCTGAGGCGCTTCACCCCCAACTGACAGATTCAGAAAATTCGGACTCCTTGGTGCCAATGACTGAGAAAGTCAGTGCAGCGCCACACCACCCTGTACTGCGCTGCCTGTAAATTGGGGATCCTGACCCAATTCCACAATCGCCACCTCCTGGGATCACTTCCTTGACAATCGCCAGCCTCAGATGAATCGCCAGGCTAAAAATAGCCTCCCAGAGCCTTTCAGGTCTCTGAGCACCAATCGCCAACAACTCCTGCACAACCCTAGTCAGGAGCGAGTTACCCTCCGTCCAATTCCTCTCGCCACACACTCACAACCACCACCCTTACTGACAACAACCCTGAAGATGATGAATCGCCATGAGACTCAACTCCAGTATCTCGCCAGATGATGATGGGTGCTCCAACTCATCATCAATCGCTCCAGAGCTTGGATCCAATTGCTCTGATACCAACTATTATGATTCTGGTTGTTTGTTGTCTTAAGACCAACACTCACTCACATAGACTTCCAGGTATGCCCATACATACACAGAAGGAAGGGGAGAGGATAGGAGTATCACATCGCACAGGGAGAGATGACAGAGTGGAAGACTTGACCATGCGATATGACAGAGAGGCCCATCGTCGTGGTACCTGTCCAACAGCGGCCTATGGGCCACGCGTGGTAAATGAGAACCGCACGACTATTTTGCCAGTGGCAGACTGGAATGATAAGCCCTACCAGGGCCCAGGCAGATAGTCAAAATGGATGGGACCAACTTTCTGCAATAACCATGGCTGGAATAACCTGGGGCGGCAACGCTCCCCAAACTGTCGTCGAGGAACCACCAGAACCAGAAAAATACTGACACCACTAATTGCTCCGGACTGTCAAGAGCCAACACGCGAAATGGACTACTGAAACTCGAATAACCCGAGCGTCGGAGGTCAGGTGAACCCACAAAAAGAGGTTGCTGCGCCAACCGTCTCCGTCGAATATTGTAGTCCGAACTCATACCGCGCATCAAGATATCATTTGTCATGTCTGGAACAGTCATTCGCGCGATCGTCACCCCTAAAATTGTAATGTCTGTCAAACCGGGGACTCACAAAAATAAAAGTGGTCACCGATGGTTAAATTGAACCACATAGATCGGGGTAGAACCAGGGCAAACATAATCGACCTAAGAAAACGGGAGACGCACTAAAATAGCGAAAAACATATTCCTTCAACCGCAACTAGTTGAAGGGCACTCCACCTCGATAGATAGCAAGGGCCAACAGACGATCAAGATCCTGTCGGACCTTGTTCCCTAGGTGAACATCTAGGGTCGTCTGTCTCCTCCTCGGCACGACCTGTGTGGAGGTGGTGGTCGTCGTTACAGTAACCCGAGCTCCCCCTCCATCCCTTCCACCATCTCCTGCACCTTCAACGCCCCGCAACTCATTTCTCACAGTCCCGGTGTCCTGCCCCTGCTGTGTACCACCATCACCACGATCACCGTCTCCAACTCCTCCTGCACGATCCGACACCGGGTCGCATGGCTCGTCCAACTCACGCAGGTCCTCGGCGGCAAGCTCTCCATCCAACCTGTCTGCGTGCTCAGCAGCCAGTCTGAGTGACAATGCATCCCTCAACAAAGCACCATCCGCTTGCAGTCTATACAAAATCTCCCCATTCCGTCGGGGGCAGTGTGCCTTCGGTTTCGTGAAGTGCTCGATTGCTCTGGACCTCGAACCCGTGAACACCTCCCCACACAGTCGGCAGCGCAGAAGGAAGTTGCCTCCGCCAGTTCAACCCCCACTCCTGCCCCCTTTCCGCCCACTCCCACACCACATGTGTTCGCCTCAGATCTGCTTGCTTCCGCGCAGGCACTGGCTCGAATGGAGGGAGATGCCCCCCTCGTGGCCGTCTACCGCCTGTCGCCATGACTACGACGGGGAGGAACAAGATAGCGACTGGCCGCCTATGAACGCTGGCCCAAGGAATGAATGATTGCTAACTCTACAATCCCTTGAATTGGTGTCGAATCCTGTGAGACCACTGCGTCAGCCTGGCATGCAGCAAAGGTTCAAGCTGCATGGACAAATTAAGACAAGCATGTAGTTAGATACGGGCATATTTGTTAATTGAGTGCATAATCGATTGATAGTCTCCATTGATTGATTGGTTGGTTGATTGATTGATTGATTGATTGATTCGTTGATCGATCTCCGCCATCACCCTCACGACGTCCATCTTCTCAACACTTCCACCATGTACGCCAAGGCCTCCTCCATCTCTTCGTCCTCCATCTCCTACATCTCCTCCATCCCCTCCATCTCCTCCATCCTCCTCCATCTCCTCCTCCTCCATGCCCTCCTCCATGTCCTCCATCTCCTCCTCCTCCTCCATGTCCTCCATCTCCTCCATCTCCTCCATCTCCATCTCCTCCATCTCCTCCTCCTCCATGCCCTCCTCCATGTCCTCCATGTCCTCCTCCTCCTCCATTTCCTCCATCTCCGCATCTCCTCCATCTCCTCCATCTCCTCCATCTCCTCCACCTCCAACTCCTCCATCTCCTCCTACTACAACATACCTTGCTCCATCCCCTCCTCCTCCATATTCTCCTCCTCGTCCATGTCCTCCATCTCCTCCTCTTGCTCCATATCCTCCTCCTCCATCTCCTTCCACTCCATATCCTCCATCTCCTCCACGTCCTCGCCCATCTCCTCCATCGCCTCCTCGTCCTCTATCTCGTCCACCTCCTTCATGTCTTCCTCCTCCATGTTCTCCTCCATCTACCTCCTCCGTATCTCTCCTCCATCTACTCCCGCTCCGTCTCCTCCATCTCCTCCATGTCCTCCCCCATGTCCTCCGTCTCCTCCTCCTCCTCCATCTCGTCCTCCGTCTCCTCCATCTCCTCCCACCCACAACACACCTTGCTCCATGTCCTCCTCCTTAATCTCCTCCTCGTCCATATCGTCCACCTGATTCACTCATCCATTCCTCTTCTTCTTCGTCCTCTTCTTCTTCTAACCTTCTTCTTCTTTTTCTTCTTCTTGTTCCTCTTCTTCTTCTTCCACCCGGTCTTCTCCTCGCCTCCTCCTACCACAAGCCTGCCCACCTCCTACCACAAGCCCACCTCCGCCCGCCCACCTCCGCCCACCACGTCATTCGCCCGCCTCCGCCAACCTCCGCCAACATCCGCCCGCATGCGCCCGCCTCCGCCCGCCCACCTTCAAACCCCTCCTCCGCTCGCATCAACCCACCTCCGAACCCCTCCTCCGCTGAGTCCGCTCGCATCTGCCCTCCTTCCGCCCGCATCAGCCTACCTCCGCCTGCCCACCTCCTACCACAAGCCCACCTCCGCCCACCCACCTCCGCCCACCACGTCATCCGCCCGCCTCTGCCAACCTCCGCCAACATCCGCCCGCATGCGCCCACCTCCGCCCGCCCACCTCTGAACCCCTCCTCCGCTCGCCACCTCCTCCTCCGCCCACCACCTCCTCCTCCGTCGCCACCTCCTCTTCCGCGGGCCTCCGCCCGCCGCCTCCGCCCTCCTCTTCCTACCACCTCCGCCCGTCACCTAGACCCTTGTCCCGCAAACACGTCGTCCCGCAAAAAAGGAACGCGTATCCACCGTCACCTAGACCCTCGTCCCGCAAACACGTCGTCCCGCAAATCCGTTTTTTTGCGGGACGACGTGTTTGCGGGCCGACGATGGAGTCAGTAGCTTGGGCCATCTCTCGAGATGGTGAGGGTGTATCCACCACCTCGACCCTAGCAGGAACAACTACTATTCCTACTGGCCCGACGTCCTGGAGCAGTGCCAAAAGTGCTAGCCACATTGCTACCAACGGGAGTGGAGGATCCCAACGCCTGCACCATTGTAGGCGGGATCTTCTCGGTCACCTTGTTTTTTGCGGCACTTGAATTGGTTATGGCCATATTGACCACAACGAATACAGGCCTGCCTGGTGTACCCGTCTCTCCACACGTCCTCACTGAGACCCGCTTTCTCCCATGGAGGAGCATTGGGGTCAACTTGACTCCTTGACCGGGGACCTCCATGGTGTCTACCGGTCACCTTACCTTTTTGTGCGACGACAGCGACTACTCCACCCCCTGAAGCTTCTACGCTGCCAGCCTCTGAACCTACTCCCTCCTGGAAGTTGTCATCTAACTCGATGGTAGAACCATCGTTATCGACAAACGTTATGCGACCCTTCGCCTTCTAGTTGGGAGGCAGTGACCTCTTCCTACCATTCGTCGTGGGATTATGTTCATGCCCTATCTTTGCTTCCAGGTCTAGGGCCTTCTTGCTGAACAAGGAAAGTTGTGCATATTGATGTTGGCCTCACCTGCCAACTGATTCCTGAGAGGCATGGGAAAGTATCTTAGGTAGGAGTTGAGTAAGACCTGGGGGTCATAGCGCACCCCAGGGACGCATATCAGACGCTTTACAGCGTCAATGGCTTCCCTAACGGACTTGAACTGCCCCGTGTGCAGTGTCAGGATCGCGTCAGTGGCTTTTTGGGCCTCCTGATGATCATGCCACCTGTCTTCCACCATCTTGAGAAAGTCCTCCAGTTTCTGGTGGGCTGCCCAGGCGCGGAAGTCATGATCGAACCCCTATAACTGCATTAAACCACTCAACCATCTTGCTGCACTACCCTCTAGGTAGGATGCAGCCACAAGCACTTGAGAGAAGGTTAACAACAGTCGTATTTTTCATCACCACTTCAGGACACCCTTCACCCCTTCAGGATGCAGCCTGCCTAAACAGGTGGTTTTCAGGGTCTTCGGACCTTTCACCACTTCAGGACCATTGAGGTCTGAAAATCCTGAATGGTCCTGAAGTTGTGAAAGCTCCGAAGACCCTGCAAACCACCTGTTTAGGCAGGCTGCATCCTCAAGTGGTGGTCGTCGGACCTTTAACGACTTCAGGACCACTCAGGATTGTCAGACTGCCCAAAACTCTCACTTGACCTCTTCAGGACTCCCTTCACCACTTCAGGATGCAGCCTGCCTAAACAGGTGGTTTTCAGGGTCTTCGGACCTTTCACCACTTCAGGACCATTCAAGATTTTCAGACTGCCCAAAACTCTCACTTCAGAATTTTCATTCCTGAATTTTCAGCTACCCGATAACCGCTTGTGAAGCACTTCCTCGTGCGCAAAGGTAAGTTTACACTTGACGTAGATTAGCACTGCCCTCAACCAAGTGTCGAGGTCTTCGCCCCTCTTATCCCCTGTGAAGGGTTTAGCAGCGGCGATGGCCGTCTTTGGTATCCGCTGACTTTGTCCCGGTACCTGCACCAATCCGGGCTGTGGACCCTATGGCGCAGGCTGCTGCACTAGCTGCTGCTGGGGTTGTGTACCCTGCGGCTGTGCAGGCTGCGAGACAGCAGGCGGCCTAGTTACGGCAACCTGCAACGGAGGTTGGGAATATACTGACTGTACAGAAACCTGCAAACTAGGACCTGCTGAGAACCCGCCTGTGAAGGGCATACCCGGGGAAACGGGCTGGACCGATGCTGGAGCTGTATATGGGGATACCCCAGTCACCGGTGGGACAAAAGGAGGAGGTTGTGCAACGGGCCAGGCACCAGGTATGTCTCTCGCATCACTCACAACCTCGTTCTCCAACACACAGATGTCACATGCACCCAAGGACCACCCTGCGCCACACCCAGCTCACAGCAGCGCAGCTCGGCTATGGCTGCCTGCTCCCTCCAGCTCGCCCGTGAGCGCGTGAGCGCTGGCCAGCTTTAGCGCAGCAGCGCTTGCGCAGCATGCAGCCAGCACCCGAATGTTCAATGCGGAGGCAGGCCCTTTGCTATATGGAAGTGGCCTGTCTGCGTTCTGTGCCAAGCTGCGCTGGGCCTTTCCCAAGAAGCTTCCGGTAGGCCGAGGCCCAGTCCAAACAACTCAGGCCCTGGGCCTGTGGTGGTTGCTTGCGCCCAACTGTCATCGGCCTGTGTCTGGCCCACCTCTCGTATCCAGCCCAGGGCCTGCCTTTGATTCATGCACACAGGCGACCCAGGGCCTAGGTTCTTTCAACCAACTGGCGCTGCGCAACTGCCTGAATTTCCTTAGTTGCGTGGTGGCCAAAATTCGGGGCCCTCAGGCCCTCGTCGAGCCCTCCTTCACTTAGGGCGGCTGACGTGCTGCTTGGCAGGGCCTGAAAGGGGCACATCGGGGCTTTAGCCTCGCAGAGTCTAATACAAGTTTATTGTTGTTTCTGAGTTGGAAGAGTTCGATTTTGCCATCGGTTCTCAAGTGTGCATGTTGTGAACAAATCCAAAGTCGAGACTGATTGCAGGTCTATGAAGGGGGCAAAAAGGGCCCCAGTGCCCAAAAAAAAAAACAAAAAAACTAACCTACAGTGATGCACTGGGGGAGCCCGGTGGCCAACCGGGCGTGACAACCGGCCAGGCCGTCGGGCGGCCTGGGGACCAGCCTAGTAAAACAATTCAAAAGAACAGAAATCAATTTCCTCCTAGTCTAACTCCTGCTGTCTGGTCTATGTGTGATGACGTCCTACAGAAGTGTATAGGTACCGCAGCCACGGCCAGTGTGATCAAGACAACAACACACAGGTGAGTATGCACAGCAACCACATAACAGCCAAACAGGTGAGTAGGTCAGCCAACACAACCAACAGCAATCATTAGTCAGCCTTCCTTCCTCTACGGCTGTACCATCTGCAGAGCCAATACAACCAAACAAAAGGGCCGGCGCGTGACACTACAGCAAATCGTGAAGCCGTACCGTCTGCCAGCTCACCAGTGCAAGATCAATACCGTACCCACAGCAACGTGCCAAGCATGCCACGTGTCACCCCTGGAATGCCGGCGTAGCACATGTGCCACGTCAGCAATGCCTGGACTGTCAACTCATACAACACTGGTATGCCGCATCAGATCAAAGGACACTGCTGGAGCATGGAGTGCCACTCAGCAGGTAAGTCGCAACACAAGTACGTGCCATGTCAGACAATGCCCTGCCAATAATAGGATACCACATCAGCACCCCTGCGACATGCCACATAGGCAGCGCGCCACGCCAGCGGTCCCAATATCCACACTCTCTCTTTCTTCACCAGCGCCACGTCAGCCTGTTGCCAACGATGCTCTCGCCGGTATCCCAATCTTTTTCAGTGTAACCACGTCATCACCTTCAAGGGAGGCTGCACGCACGTGCGGTACTCAATGTCTAGACATGCGGTATTAACCGTGCGCGTTAATAAACATGTTTCGTTCCTGCACGTGCAGCATCTCCCACTCACCTGGGTGCCACGTCAGCACCTGACAGCAGATCGTGATGAAGTAGGTATGTTCTGATACCAAATTGTAATGAACCCAAACTGGAAGATACTTGTCAGACGTTGAAGCACAAGTAGACTCAGATCTGCAAAATGTCTCCAGTAATCGTGATATCTGATATAACGTCTCGTTACCAATGGACGAAGAGAGTGGAGGGGGAATAGACAGATGTGCAATCAGACTCGCTTTCTTCTTCACTTCGCATACATGCAGACAGATCGCAATTCACACTGGCGCCAAGTGCCCACTCAAAGCTCAGAGATATGGAAACCGAGAACACAGTTCAGATGCAAACTCGCTTCAACAGGCTATGGCGCATCAGCGCCTGTACATCCCAACTCTTGTCACTGTGTCCAACACCATTGTTCGCACACACTCAACTCTGGATCATCCTGAATATCCCACACACATACACGCTGCCACTCTCACAAACTGTGGCATACTGTGCAGCCACACGGGCCCCGTCCCGGACCTCCAGCCTGTTTCCCTACAGGGAAACTTCCAGGCTCTTGCCTGGAAGCTTCCTTCTGACAGGGCCTACAGGCCCCAGCCTGTTTCCCTACAGGGAAACTTCTAGGCTCTTGCCTGGAAGCTTCCTTCTGACAGGGCCTACAGGCCCCAGCCTGTTTCCCTAGCCTGTTTCCCTTCAGGGAACTTCCAGGCTCTTGCCTGGAAGCTTCCGCAGGGTCTAGGCCAGGGAGGCATTGGCACGGCCAGCCTCCTGCATGGGCCAGCACTATAAAGGACTGGCCCGCCCTGCAGGAGGAAGGGTCGGTAGGCAGAGGTAGTCTTCAGGATTCGGCCGCAGCACTCAGGAGGAGCGCTGCAGTAGTCTTCAGCGCTAGGCAGTAGTGGTAGCGCTAGCTGTAG